GCTTTTTCAGGCTTGCAGTTCCTAAGACTTTAGAGTTCAACACGCCCTTTGCCTATGACTTGAGTGTGAAGAGGTTTCAGAAACCATTCCAGCTTGCAATTATACACTCAGAGCAGTTGAAGAACACCCAGCCCTGTCTTGACAAAAATGTGCCACAGCCTTTTAAGACAGAATTTTAAATATGTCATGTTTAGAGTACCATCATTCATTTTTTTAAATTTGTGTCCTGTATATGGGGGCTACTGCAGAACATAATTACTGATAGACTGGGTGTGGCAAATTGCTTCCTGTGGCTTTTGTGTTAAGGGTTATGGAAAAGTGACATACTGAAATAGAGCTGCCCACTGCAGCATTACAAAAGTCACTGTATTTCAACTAAGGCAAAGTGGTTTGGAAAGATTTGCTACAGAAACTTACTGTCATGAGCCTCGAGAACTCCCAAAAAAGTAGACTGATTTGCTTCAAATTTCTATAGCAGAAACAGACCTGTAGCTTGAGAAGTGGCCGCTTATTGATCCAGCTGCAAAGCATTAGGAAGACAGGCTGCTGACAATGGTTTGTAGTGAAGTGTTTCACCACTACAACACAAGGTAGAAAAGTGGAGCTTCCTGACACTTCACACAGGCACTTGAAAGGTAATGGTGATTGGAAACACCTGCAGGAAATTTATCACTTTTATTAAGAAACAATGATTATACAATCTAAGATAAAAACCAGATGTCTGATGAGTTGTTTCAGAAGGTAAAAAAAAAATGGCTCTTCATAAGAAATGATGGTAAAAAGACTCTTCATTCAATTTGGCAAAACATTTTATTCACAAAATCTTCCTTTCCTTCTTAACTCTCTGTTCAAATAACTCATAAGGCTGGAAGCTGAGGTTTGATATTTACACAGCTCAAAGTCTGAATACTCACTAATGTCTTTTGGCTGTTCTACACACTAGGCTGCTACCTCCTTTCCTCCTCCTGATCTTTCAATGTAATCTTTCTTAAAATGTAATACTCAATGAAGAGCTCAGAGGCAGAATAAATAAAATATATGCTACTCCATAATTTGTTAGAAAAGCATACTTTTTAAATTATCCGCTTTTTTGGAGGATGAGGCCATTCTCTTTAAGGAAATCAAACAGCATAGAAATGACTTGTCATTGTGATACACTAAGACATTTTATGGCATTGGGAATAACCACTATCACCCTCTTCGGTTCAGAGTTTGTTTTTCTTACATCTCAAAAGACACAATTCATACATGTGCCAAGGCAATCATGACAACTTTTTTCTTAAGTATAGGCTTTATTTCTTATAATGCAGTTCTTTTTTCTCCTATTTTGACTCCCTTCCAGCTTGCCTCTTGGTAGGATGGTAGCGAATTCAGTTGGTAAGGCTCAGGGAAGGTGTCTCCGAGGATACTGAGGACAGACAAGTGGACAGTGCTCTAAAGGCAGCAGCCAATATACACTAGCTGTGCCCACCCGCGGTGAGATGCAAATGGGGCTAGTCACTCCAGGCAGGAATCTTTAGCGATCTGATAGGCACTTCCTTACGTGATCTTCCTGATTAAGTGTTAAAAAGGTAATACTTTTCCATCTGACCATCAGGCAAGCAAGAGATCTAGAAGCTGGGTAGTAGGCTGCATTCTAAGCAACTTCCCAATATTTCTCCATTCCTGCTCTTGCTTGGAATCTCTTGAATGTTTCTCCTTACTTGCTTTTTTTCCAATCAGCTGATGAGGAGTGGGAACAGCTATCAGGAACCAATAGAAGGTTTCTCAAAAACTAGGAGGAAGAGATCTTGGTAAGTATTCATTTATTCATTTAATGCATGTCAGACACTATGCCAGGGGCTGGCAATACAGAAATGATTTAGACATGATCCCTGGCCCCTCCCCTCTCTGGAATGTCTACAGTGAAGAAGCTTTTGCAAAGACAGAACACACTATGATGCTCAGAGGGGTTAGTCTCCCAATCCAGCTTTGGTTATATTGAGCATATTCCAAGGCTTATGACTAGTTCTTATACTTACAAATATTGTATATACTTATTTTCAAATGCCCATACTAATAAACAGTAATAGTGAATAGATTTTATCTGTATTGACAGTTCTTTCAATTTACAAGAGAACTGCCACAAGTAAGATTCAGTTACATTTTTCTAGAGAAAGGTATTGAGACCAAAATGCTTTGGTTATCTAATAAGAGCAGAATTACACATAATTCTATTTACTTCAAGCCAAAAAGAGACAAAATGCAACAAATATAAGATCTTGGTTTCAGATTATATTAAGTGGTTTTTCTCCATGTGTTATGTGTGCATCTGCTCAGGTCAAGGTCAGCCAGTCTGTGATGAACATGTCCCCACCATCCAGACAGAATTGGTTTAGAGTTACTCCTGACCTAGTTTATCATTGCTCTCAACTGGTATCTGGCACTGTTGAGTGAACAAGCTAAAAGTAGGGTATAAAGAGCCAAATAAGAAAAGTATTATTTCCCAAATATTACAGGGACTAGTAAGGGCTGGGGACGTAGCTCAGTAGTAGAGCACTTGCCAAGAAGGGAATGGGGGCAAAATTTTCAGCCCCTACCCTGAGCTGTCACAGAATACAAACATTTCACACTAATCCTCTATGTTCATACTTCTCTACACATACATCCATACATGCTGTCATAGTCCCATCCACAGAGGTGCACACTTTTTTTATTTTTGTTTTGAGACAGGGTCTCTCTATGTAGTCTGGGCTGGCTGCAACTTGTGACCCTCCTGCCTACACCTCCCAGTGCTGGGACTTACAGGTGTGTACTGCCATGTCCACTCACATACACACTCTTAATATCAATGCTTATCAGAACATAAAACAAAGTACATGCCAAATGCTTATATAAATATGCTATGAAACTCCACAAAAACATCAAGAGGCCCCAAAGAACAGAGGCATAAACATACAGAAGATTATAGATATTGCTCAGTAGGAAATACAAGTGAGGACAGCCTGTCCTTAAGAAACTGGAGGTGGAGTTAGGAAGTAGGGAACAATAGAGCAGAAGAGAGGACAGGTACTTAGGAAAATGATCACAGATATTTTATTCAAATCCATTAGGCTGTCATGCAATCTTCCTAGAAAAACAGAAGAGGTGGGTTATGGGTGGCATAGATCAACCTGGCTTTCATGATTTTCTTCTATTTCTTTACCAACCAAATTAGAGTACTGTGGAATTTCATTCTAGTCAATCAGGCAGGAAAAGGAAAAAAGAAACAAACCGTAACAACAAACAACTACTTGGATTGTGTCTAAATACTTCAGAATTTGATTTAAAAAAAAACTCATCGTGTATTAGTGGCTGTATTAAGTGGATGAAAATGAAAATAAAGAATAAAAAAATGTATAATGCTGGGTGTGGTGGTTCATGTCTGTAATCCCAGCTGTGCGGAAGGCCAAATGTAGTAGGATCATGGTTTTAGACCAGCCCCAGGCAAAAATATGAGTCCCTATCTAAAAAACAACTGAAGCAAAAAAGGGCTCAGGTAGCGGAAAGCCTGGCTAGGAAGTGCAAGACCCTGAGTCCAAGCCCTAGTACTGCCAAAAAGAAGAAAAGTATGTGTAAGGCCTTGCATTCAATCCTCAGCACTGAAAACAAAACAAAACAAACAAAGCTAAAAATGAAACAGATAGCATTTTTGCAACAAAATTTTGGTAAAGGATTTGAATATGCTAGATTAATATAATTCAAACATTCACTTTCCTCTCCTGCTACCTTATTACTCCAGTCAAACTGTACAGTGGGCACATAGTTGCATGTGTGTGTTACATTTTCTGGCTAATGTCCTTGGCTACTTGATTTTTACTGTGAGTAGAGTTTTGTAGTCTTAAACATTATATTCTTTTGTAAACAAATTCTATCTCTGAGGCACAAAATTCTAGTCTGATTCAGAGAAAGAGGAAAGGAATTTAAAAGACATTTCCTCTTCCACTTAGGTTTAAGTGTGATCTCTATATAACAGTTTGTTTGCCCTTTTAAAACTTTTTCAACCTGCATTGAAAAATCAGTTAACCAAGGGGAACAATTTCTTAAGGAATAGTTTAAAAAAATCACACATATTTAGATATATTTCCTTATATCCAAGTCCTACAAAGAAAAAATAATCTCACAGGGTATTTCAGGCATTCTGTTCCTACAACTGCTCATTTTGTTGTAGGAGAGCTCTAATCCATTACCTCCATGTCCTTTATTATGCAGCCTGGCAGAGGTATTCATATTGATAACAGACAGAATCTAAAGCCAAATGGGCCCAGTTAAATCCTGTCTGTGTATCTCAACACATTTCAAATAACTATAAATTACAGTATTTCTCATCAACATAAAAAGGATGGTACTGGATTATACAAAGATATAACCTATTCGCAGTTACCAGAGACTCCAGATATATAACAACCAAAAAGCCTCTAGAGACAGATTCTTCTATTAAGAAAAAAAAGTAGCATTTGTTGTCTTTTTTTAAGAGGGCATTTAACATGTATTTATAGTACCATCAGTCCAAGAACTCCACATATTGCAAAGCAAGTAGTCCATGAATGGGTTCAAATCTAATTTACCTTCTTTGAGAACAGACCATTAGGTATTAGGAAGTTGTCAATGTCCAGAACATAAATAAAAAGAAAAAAAAAAAAGAGAAAGAAATCTGTAAATCTAGAGACTGTGGAAAAACAGTGTGCAGTTTCTGTAAGAAAGAAGTGAGGCAGCTTAACACCATCCCAGGTGACCTGCTGGTTTAGGGCAATTCTCCTTTACTGTTGCGCTCAGACTCATCAGAGAATATAACATATCTGGATAGTGAAATAAACAGCCAGGAGTCAGTCTAGGAGACACAGACAGTCATATTTCAATTTAAGAACATAGTTTGTGCCCAGCAAAACATAGAAGACCTTTGTCTATACTCAGAAAAAAAAAAAAAAGAAGAAGCTAGTGAGTTTAGCTGCTCACAAGAGTATGCAGTTGTGTGAGGTTAATGAGGGTTTGGGACTAAGTGAAGAGGAGGGAATAAGAGAACACCAGCTTCCATGCTGCTTGATTGCACACAAATTACATGACAGCACACACATCTCCATGTGCTGTAGTGACAGTTTTCTTTTTCTCAACATCCCATGGTAATAGAACCCAGACCTTTGAAGTGGTTAGCAAAAGAGAGGCATGTTTCTACATGTAACAAAGCACATACAACCTTCCCCTCATTGCATATCAAGAACATAAAGTTACTTCATAGGAGAAAATGAGAGTAACTTTCAACTGTAGTTGGGATTTGACTTGATTTGTACATCACACATACTATATATCTTAGTCTATTCATCACCTGACTCTCAGAGCTGCCAAGAAGAGCTGATCTAGTTAGGAACATTTCACTCACCTTGCATTCAGGACCTGCCCTTTGAGTATGTGGCTGGGCCTACAGGGACAGCTGTGGCTCTTAGAGTGATGAGCAGGGCTATGTGTACTAGACCGGGCTGCTATCCCCATTTCAGTGACAGGTTAATGGGCTTCATGTGCAAGACTGAAGGGAAAGACTCCTTCTTCCCAACCATGTTTTACCATGAGATGCTGCAGGATTGGTCTAAGATAGAAAGCAAGAGATGGGGAAGGCATCTCACTTTTGCATAGGGAAAAAAAGCAAATGTGGGAAAGGACGGGTTCACCAGTTTGGTCTGCTATCCCCAAGGCTTAGCTCAACGGGACAAATGCTTCTTTCCCAACATGCTAGAAAAAAATCCAGTCCCAATGTTCCCAGGGTCTCAATTCACTCAGCCAAATGGTTGTTCAATGGCTGATGGTGCCTGGAGCATTTGATGGTCTACAAAGTGCTGTTGAGGAGTAGAGAGTGACAGGAAGAAAGCAGGACATGGCCACAGGATGGTCATGACTATGGCAGCAGAAAATCATCAGAACAGTAACAAAGGCATTACCTTTTCTGACACCACAAATATAAAATTAGTAGCTCTGGGAACTCAGAACTCAGCAAACAAGTATAGTTCTGAATCTTCTGGAAAACAAAACAGAAAAGCAAACGAACAGGTTGCTCAATGCTATAGAAGTATTATTTTTTTTTCTACTTCAGGGTTGAGAGATGTCTATTTGGAGTCTACAAATGTTGTTCAAATGGCCGTGAAAAACTGGAGATGTCCCCTCCTTCTGAGATTCTCTGGATCGTGTTTGGTTCAATACTGGGGGTACTTCGGCATTAACCAAAGTGAAATGGTGGCCAGACTTTCACCAGAGGACTCCCTCATACAACACTGGCCTGTCTATCCCAGGCAGAACTCAGTTCTTCTTATCATCCTTTTGCAACTGACTTTTTGTAGTCCCTAGGTTGTTCCATACTTCTGTGTACATTAAGGTCCCAATGAAGACAAATGAGGTGCCCAGCCAGTGCCACAGAGTAAAAGGGTTCTGGAAGTACAAGATGGAAAAGATGAGGCTCACAAACTTGCGTAGAGTCACAACGAGTGTGACAGTGAGGGAAGCACATTCTGTTGTGAGGATGAACACACCCCGGATGCACACATATCTGAGGAGTGGAGTTAAGGGAGCTTTCTGTGAACTGTGCTTGAGAGGCCAGCAGAGGAACCTTCTGGCATGGATTCTTATATTTTAAGAAAACATGAGCATCTGCTACAGCAGCTGAGGCTCCACCTCAGTAAAACGTCCTGAAGAATTCCCATCTTGCCATTCCACTTACAGATCCCAATTCAAAACTTCCTAAAAACTTTCCATTATTGTTCTGGATTCTTCCTGCTGTTTCCCACCTTAGCCGGTTCACCCCTCCTTAGGCTACCTGGTACTCCCCCAGCTCCCAGAAAGTCACCATATGGATGCCAAACTTAGTGTGGATACCTGATCAGCACAGCACACTGCAACCCAGAACTCCTGAACTCAAGTGATCCTCCTGCCTCAGCCTCCTGAGTAGCTGCAGGCATGTGTCACCCTGCCTGGCCTTCCTACTGTTTATAATGAAGGCCATCTCCAAGGTAACAATAGAGGGTGAATTCTCAGGAAGGGTGATCCCATTCACCTTCATTTTGTTGTGTCCCCGGCCCCTCTACCTCCTCCTCTAAAAAGTCACCATGAGGTGACTTCAGAGGAATGAGGTCAATCTCAATCTGTTTCATTATTTCAAAACTTCACAACTTTGATAATGAATTTATAGTCATCCAAAATAACTATTTAAAAACTTCAGTCTTTATTAATTTTAATTTTCTTTTAGAACTTTGTGGCAGCTTATGATAATCAGAAACATACCAGGATACCAGAAAACTCCACGTAGAAATCATGTTTCCTCTGTACCACTAGTGTCTCTTTTGCCCTCTGCAAAGAAGTTCCTGGAGTGGGTTTGTCTCCAGGTTACAACAGATGAAACCAAGGCAAAATCCAAATGCATGTTCCTACTCTGTTATAAAAATAAACATTCATATGTCAAAACAACATGAAGAAGACACAAAAATGATGGAGGAGGCCAAAGGATACTGAGTGATGACATTCACGAGGAGGTAGAACCACATGAGGGGCATTGTCACGCCGAGGACTGGAACTTGATATAATTCTGCACAGATTGAGAGGACATGGTTATATCACGCTTTGGCAGATAAATTTTTCATCTTTTGAACAAGGTAATACAAACATAATAGAAACAGCAGCATTATTTCCCCTGTAACTAGATTTGGACCACACATCCCTTTACTTGTCTTGATTCCAGTCTGTATCAGCCAAGGGAGTCATTGCTCTCTGGGGACTCTCACAGATCTTCAAAATATGAGTAATTCAGAGCCATACATACTTTCTTACATACTACATACTTTATCACATGTATTTTTTGTACAAATGGGAGAGGCCATACTGCACATGCAGAGAGCAGTCTCTGCTCGGATGAGCACCTACCTTTCTACAAAATGCACTTACCACTTGAAGTATTGGCAACACAAAGGTTTGATTTTAAAAATCTTTGCTCCTTGTATGTTCATTCTTCTATGTAACATGTGATGTCTATTAGTCGATAATCAGATCATGTAAGTAGCTTCTTTCAAGTTGACTGACCATCTACAGTTAATTCATCAAATAGCCTCTTTAAAAAGTAATAGCTAATCTATGCTACAGATACTTGAAACTAATTCTGCTTATTCTTGTTGCCTATCTAAACTGTAATTATGAAACAAGCATTGTCATCACTTGCTTCTGTCTTGCTTGGTGCCAAGGTAGCTCTGCCTTTCACAGTAAAAAAGGATCACAGAGCTTTACTGCTGCCCAACTTTTCAGGGCTCTATCTCTGCATGTGCTGTTACTGTTTGTTTACATTCTCAAACCATCTAACATTCCATGTTCAAATGCAAACAGGCAAGTTCCAAAGCAAGACAGAAAATCTGAAGATATTCTCTTACTTCATTTGCAAATAATAGAGAAGTGCCTATAAAAGCTTTTGCTGCTGCAATTACCCATTAACAGCACTACATTCCTGGAAGCTGGAAGAGGGACAGATAATTTGGATAAGAATGTGAAAAAAAAAAGTTGTGGTCAAGTCAAAAGCAAACCTCAGACTTTGCCTCAGAAACTGAAAGTTAATTCTACAGTATAATCCCAAACTTACCGGATTTATTGAACAGAACTGCATGGTCATAAATATCAGAGGCCAAGATGATGAAACCAGGAAGTGGAAGGGCATGCTATGGGAAGAAATGGTTCACATAAAAGTTAAATGCAAAAACGTTATAGAATAATTATAGTAGCTTTACAAATCATTTAAAGTTAGCCAAGCTGTGATAAGCAATACAAAGAAAAGAGAGTTAGACTTATTAAATGTATCTATGCCTCCGTCTATTTGACATTATATGGCATGAGGTCAGCTCCCAAAGTACAGATCTTGCCCTATGAAGTCTGATGGCCATAATGGGCAAAGACAAGCAAAGGAGCCAACATCCTTCCCTTAACAAAGAGGGATGGGGAAATTTAAATACATAGTTATTCTGCTCTAAGGATTTGCTAATTTTACTAATTTAAGGGAGGAGAAAGCAAAATAGTGGATTTAAAAAGTACAAGAACAAAGAGGCAGATTTCAGAGAACCTAGAGAACTAGTGAGAAAAGGGACTTGAGGACAGTATGAGGTCAGGGAAAAAGAAATGAAGACAAAAATAAGAGATAAAAGAGGAAGAGGACACATGGGTAACAACTTTCCCACCTCACAGTAATGATGAGGCACAGCTAACACTTTTGAACCAGTCACTGTATACCTGGCATTGTGAAAGATGCAAACCAAGTACAATATTTAACTTTTAAAAATTCCCAGCCACATTTACTCTATCTCTAATTAAACATCTCAAATTGCTATTTTGCGACTCCAGTATAAAAAATTGCCAGAGAAAGAATCCCTAGGGTAACTGGATGCAACTATCTCACTCTGACTTTGAGGGGCTGGGCTCTGGGGCTTTGCTATTCTTCAATATTTCCACTGTATTTTTCAATATATTTGCTGTCTTTCAATGGCATGAGGGAGGAGGAAGAAGAAAGCTAAGGGAGGTGGTGCTAGATCAGTAGTTTAGAGTAAAGAAGCTCTATTACATATAACTAATTAGACTATCATATGAATAAAGCCACAAGGGACTTAGGCCTCTAGAGCCATCTTCTCCACACGTCTGCCTGCACACACTCCCCTTGGCCTGCTGCTTTTGAAACTTATTTTCCTTTTCCAGGTTTCCATATTGTTTTAACCTGATTTCATCTATGAGAACGTTGAGGGTAGCAGTTCCTTGTCCCTTGGAGTTGCCCTTGGTTAACACACATTTTATTTTGTTTATTATGATCATCTCATATAGACAACTGTGGCCCAGAATACACACTGGCACCCAATCAAAAGTCCTTGAGTCTATGGGTCTTGAAGTTGTTTACTGATAATAAACTTGTGCTTCAACTACAACAAATTTCATCTGAAATAGCATATTACAACTCAGGAATTTTCACCTTCTCCAGATTCAAGAAGTTGCTTACATTATAAAATAAAGCCTCTTTGGAGTGTTTCCCAAATTGTTTGTAAAGTGTCTCTTGGAATATACCCATCCGTGCTGACATCAACAGAGCAAAGGTCAGTGCCCCAATACCTAGAAAACAAACATTGGTTATAGTACATCTGTGTGGTTTTTCTTTCTTTTTTTTTTTGCGGTACTGGGGGTTGAACTCATGGCCTTCACCTTGAGTCACTCCACCAGCCCAATTTTTGTGTTGAGATAGGGTCTCACAGAACTATTTGCCTGGGCTGGCTTCAAACCATGATCCTCCTGATCTTGCCTCCTGAGAAGCAAGGATTACAGGCATGAGCTACTGGCACCCAGCCAGATGTCTTCTTAAAGAACATTTATTGTTTACAGTTCTACAAATACTATAAACTAATTGAAGAACATGTACAAAATTTTAAAAATAAAAATCAGCCACAACATTACAATCCAAGCCTTTATAGTTTTCTACATCTTGCTACATACTTATATATGTATTTTTATACTAAGACAAAATAGAATTGTTCATATATTTTTATATCTTGCTTTTCTCATGTTTTCCTGAACTCTTCCTTCAAGTCCTTCATTAAAATTTTTCCAAAATATGATTTAATGCTGCATATTATTCTATCATGTGGTTGTACATACTTACATGTCTTATAATGAGAATGGTTAGATTATTTCCAAATATTTCATCATTAAAATCAATATATTTCCTTGTTCACAAATATTTTAAATGTTAATTATTTCCTTAGGATAAAATCATAAATGCAATCACTGAATCAAAGATTATGCACATTTCAAAAATCCAAGGGACAATATTGTCTAGAAAGGCTATGTCACTTTATACCCTTATAGTTCATATGAAAATGATTGTTTTACTGTACCTTAATTAGCAATAAAAAGTCATTTGTCATCTTGCCAATAAGATAGGCAAAAAATAAAAAGATATTGCGTTTTAATTTTAATTTGCATTTCTTTGATTACTGGACTAGTAAGGATGAATATAAAAATTATTGGACATTAATTTTTTTCCATATGAATTACATGTTCATATCTTTTGCAAACATTTTTCATTGGGTAAAATATTGTTTTACTAGCTGATAAGAGATCTTTTTTATTTTAAGAATAGCAACCTAAAGGGTGAGAGTTCAAAGCCAAGAAGTAAGAAGGACACTTGGTCAGTTTTAATCTGCTCTTTTTATTACTGAAGACACCTGCAAAGAGTTCCCCTCCAAATCAGTGTGAGAATGTGGCTTTCCAGTTGTCTAATAAATTCTACAAAGAAATATTTGTATTTTAAAAACTTTCCCAGGAGATTCTCATGATGTTAGATTTGGGAACACTGCCATATGGAAAGAAAATAAATCTAAGATTTAGAAATGGGTCACTTGGAAATTTAAGACTTAAGGGCTATAATGTGCCCTTCTTTTGCAGATGCTTCTACTCAGCAGGTGAGTCATAAAGAAATGGATGACACTCCATGCCTTTCTCTCTACTATTTTTGGCGGTAGTGGGGATTGAACTCAGAGCCCTAAACTTGGTAGCAAATGTTTTCGCATTTAAGCCATATCCTGGATCAGATCTATGCACTGCTCTTGAAGAGTGTGATGGGCAAGTAGATATACACTTTTCTTCCTATGCTAGTGGCAACCAAGAAAAACATAGACCCAAGTTGTGGAACACACTGCCACGAATGTGGGCATTTTCCTTTTTCATTTCTTGAACACTAAGGTTCAGAGCGATTTGATCCCAGGTGCCTTTCTCTTCCATGGCACAATTTGTTTAGCTGAAGCTTCTTGCCAAGAAACATACCCCATAGGAGAAAACTCAGCAAACACAACTGTAGAAGTAATTAGCTTTATTGTAATTACTATACTTGCCTAGTAACCACCATGCAAATGCCTGGAATCCATCATTCTCTCTCAAGCTGGAGTGTGGAGTCTAGAAAATAAGAAAATATACTAGGTACAGAAACCAGAACTACATCCAACATGCAGAGATGGAAGGGAAATATTTATATTATCCATTTCCCTCCACTCTTTTCTTTCAGAGATTTGAATCCATGTATCACATAAGCATTTTAGTTCATTTTATTATTAATAAGTGCCTGGTAAATGGGCCCCAATGGCAAATAGTGAATATAAATGATTTGTGAGCTGATTTCTTACCACCTGCTTTGCTGACATGAAAGTGCAAATAAATATCCCTGCAGACACCAGGGCAATAGAGGTATATTTGAATATACTGTATCTGCAAAAATAAGAACAAAACACTTAGGAAAGCACAGACAAATGTTTCCTCATGATATTTATAATCAGATGGTGCATGCCAGTACAAATCACTAAAACATCACCAAGGGAGTCACTTCCCATTTCATGTACATACTTATGTTTCTAAACATTTTTCCTTGGTGTTGATTAAAATAGTTTGTTTCAACAATTTGCTGACTGATAGACTGTTTTGTCAGAAAACAACCAAAAAAGGCAGATAAAGGGAGAAATATTCAATTTATAGGACCATAAGCAGTGACATTTCATATTACCTAAAACACTGTCATTACTATCCCTCTTAGATTCTTAGTGATCAGTAAAAGATCTCAGGGAAAGTTTAAAAGAAATTAAACTTAGGCTGGAAGTGTGGCTCGAATAGTAGAACAACTGCCTAGTAAAAATGAAGCCCTTAGTTCAAATCCCATTACTCTCTCCCCCAAAAAGAAAAGAAATTAAACTTATAAAATAAACCATCATTTTTTCTACTCAACACATTGTATCATTTGGTCATAGTAGCTCATAAAAGGCTGACCTAATTGGCTAAGAAGTAGAGAAAAGGAATTAAAGGGGCCAAGAGAACCATGCTAGAGAGGAAGGGTGGGGTGAAAAAGTAGATACTACTGGTATAGATATAAAAAGAAATGATAGATAAAAATCTTTAGTCTGGAAAGATCAAGATGAAGAAATTTAACTCAGGCCAAACACAACGAAGGACATGGTTAAGGAAAATACAGACTTCTGTCTTTAAAATGCAGAGGTATGAACCCAAGAGGCTGCTGTCCAAGATAAATGAAAAGAGATAAGTTGATAACTCTCTATATTAGATGGTTAACTTACATAAATTCCAGCTCTATGGGTGATATACACAGAAAAGAGTCAAAAGGCTTAGATTCAAGATGACAGATTCAAAACAAGTTGTTAAAAGGAAACTCAGATGTTTGAGAAAAGCCCCTGACATTTTAAGGTAATATTGGGTGAGTACAATTCTTTTTATATGTTCTTCTGTATCCCTGTTATGAACCAAAATCAAAGGTTGAGAAGGACCACAGGTCTGTCCCAAAGTCAATTCTATGCTACCAATAAGCACAGTAATTATTTCAAATGTAAAAAATACCAGATTATGTATGTATGCTTAAACGCAGAGAACCTAGAAGAAAGGCATCAACTAGAATGGTATTTATCTGGGGGATATATAACCTCAGGAGATAAACAGACCATGATAAGGAGGTTACCAAGACAGGATAATTGTCCTTGTTAGAAACACCCCTTATTATTTAAAAGCTCCAGATTCCTACTTTGAATCAATAGCTACTTTGTAAGGTGGCAGAGGGAGTTCTAACACTGAGGTTGGGTACTGAACATACTAAAAAAAGTTGGAATCAACTTGTATAATTTTGGTCTTAACAGTGAGGGTGAACTTCCCTTGAGACATCTTCCAGATTATATGTGCTGTCTCTCTCCAGTGTCTCTCCTCCTTGACAGTGAGGGGAAACGCTCGGAATAAAGGTGGGAGGCATACTTTGAAAAAGCATCCCTGGTACTTCTGACAATTTTCACCTCTATCCCAGAAAGACCCATGGCTGGTAGTTACAAGAACTGTCCTGAACCTTTCAATTCCCCTTGTTGGCTATTTGGGCCTTTGTTAGAAATTTTCTTAATATGTTTGATTATTCCCTGGTTCATTAATTATACTGCTAGATACCTTCTAGGATAGCACCATCCCACAGAATGTCTTAACTGCTGGAAATGTTTCCTATCTGGGCTCTCCAATATGATCACCACCAGCCACATGTGGCTATTGAACCTTTAAAATATGACTAGGCAAACTGAGAAAGTAGCCAGACATGGTATCTCACATCTGTAATTCTAGCTACTTGAGAGGTGAATATTAGCAGGACTGCAGCTGAAGGCCAGCCAGGAAAAAAAGTACATGAGAACCCATCAAAACCGATGGCAAGGCACAGTTGTGTGTGCCTGCCATCATAGCTACATGGGCAAGTACAAATAAGAGGATCACAGTCCACGCCAGTTTGGATATAAAGTGAGACCCTATCTCAAAAATAACTAACACAAAGGTTGGCAGAGTGGCTCAAGTGGTAGAGAATCAGCTAGCAAGCACAAGGCCCTGAGTTCAAACCCCAGTATCATCAAAAAAAAAAAAAAAAAAAAAAGGAATGAAAAAATGAAATATTTAATGTAAATAGTGACATGTGGTTAGTGGTAACCATACTGGGAAGTGAAATTCTATATTCAGTGATGGTAAGAACTAACAGGCTCTACATAAAGCCACAGGTAGGGACTTTGACCTGTTTGGCTGCCTCAGGAAACTGCATTATTTTTAAAGGAAATTAAGAAAAAAGGTTACACGGCCAAGAGCAAGCTTAGCACCACTGCAGGATAAGGAATCCAGGTAATTTGTTATGGATGGTGACTAAATATCATTTCCATACATAAGATTTGAAGAGGTATTATTTACCTTTTCTTCAAAATGATAATTCCTAGAATCATGTTGGCAATTAGAGAACCCTATAAAAGGAGACAAGAGTAATAGAGTTTTTGTGAATTAGGGAAAGAAAACAGCATAATCCACTATGAATTAGAACATGGACAAGGGGAAGACATGGAATAAAGGAGGTTAGGATAAATAATTAATGAGGTTCAGTTGTCCTTATGATGGCAGGATGTATAGACCACAAAAATCTATCATGTGAAATAATAAAATCTTTTAAAGATGCCAATGAGAATAAAAATGAGTAATTCTCAATAACTAGATATAGCTAAAGCTAAGACTAAGAGGGATAAATGATATCATACTTATTTTTGCTAATTTTCCATCTATCTAATTTAGACATTTAATAAGCTTCTTCCCGCTTCCAGTTTTAATGAAGGAAGTCATGTAGAGATCGCTTTCTTCTCTGAAAAAGTGTCATTCAGTAAGTGTTTATTGGAAGTTACATTCAATGCTTTGAAGATCTCAATAATTAAAATTATCCTTGGAAAGTCCCTTCAGGAACAGCACATTCAATCTCACAAAAATCTTAGACAACATGGAGATGTTATTATTACAATCATCATCCATTTTGCAATCTTTTGCAATCCTGCCTATTTACCCCTTGAAATATGCTCTACTTTTCCAGGAACTCTGTTCTTATCTATCAACAGATTACACATGGATACCACAATACATCAGGTTATTACTTTGGGAGAAATCTGTTTCATCAAGAATTTCCATGTGAGGCATAGTGGTACATGCCTATAATCCAGCACTCAGGAGGCTGAGGCAGGAGGATTACAAGATAAAGGCCAGCCTGGACTACATAGCAAGAACCTGTCTCAAAAACAAAAATGAACAAACAAAAAAGAATTTCCCTTAATTACTTCAAGTCTCTGCTGAAACAAAAGCAGAAAAGAGAAGTGCAAATTAAGCATCCCTAATCTGAAATCAGAACTGCTCCAAAATCCAAACCTCTTGAGCACTAACATGATTGGAAAACTCTAAACCTTGAAACTTAGATTCCAGCACAAAATTATTTAAAATATTGTATTAAATTTCCTTCAGACTATGTGTATGAGGTAAATGGAAGCATAAAATGAATTCTATGTTTAGACTTGGATCCCATTCCCAAGGCATATCATTATGTACAAGCAAATACTCCACAATCCAAAACACTTCCTTCATGTTTCAGATAAGGGATATTCATCCTGAATCTGTTTCTTATACTAGAAGTAAATGCAATTTTATGGAGAAAGAAACAAGAAGTAGGTGATAAGAAAAATGTTAAACAACAGTAGTAGCAAGTGTGAATATAAAATCAACCAAATAAAGGAAATTAAAGGAAAAATGTTTCCCAGGAAAAATTTCATTTTCTTTTTTATTAATCACACATTAGACCTGAGGTAAACAAAAGAGAGCCCTTCACTTTCACACTTGTCCTTTTACCCTGCTTCTCTGATGAATGTAATCCTTGCTTACACATTCACAAACCTATTCTTATACCCCGGACTTCACTTATTATAAGGGCTTTCTACGTTTTGCCATATACTCAATTTACCTACTTAATTATGCCTTGCAGAGGAACATACAAGCATGAGCCGGCAGCACTTACAGATCTGAATATCATATGCAGGGGCATGGCAATGTTGAGATTCAGGGCATAGTTGTTCACCACACTGACAGTGAAGAACATAGTCACCATTATGGCATAGTACCTGAAATGACGCAGCAAGAAGAGCACATCACATAGGATCTGTTACTTCAAGAGAATCAAGTACAGAAGGAAAGATATATTTTTGGTCTAAAAAGTATCTTGCACATTTCCTCAGTATTAAAACATTCTATTACTATTATCATGTGAAATCAAATATGTGTAAGTACATAGAAATACTTCAGAAAGCCAGAGTAACATGGGAAAAGCTTGAATTACAGAACATTTTAAAGATGTTATATGTTAGTATTTTCCAAGTATACCTAGCAACTTAAAGTTAGGCTTTAAAAAATGTTACTTAATAGATATCAATATCAATTTTTTAAAAAGTGAGTTGATAATTCTTACCAGTTCTTTGTATATAATTTTCATAGACTTCTGAAGAACTTGAAAATGGTTAGTGCTCTTAAATATTTCCCTTACAATTCATATATACTATTATTTTTTACAATTTCCAAATAAAAGATTTGCAAAGTCAAAGCTCACTTTTAGCTAGCAACTGTTAAATTATCCCTCTGAACCAGTGGCCTCCAAATTAATGAGGATATCATTTGACTTATATAGATTTGTATTTAAAATTGGGAGTTCATAGGTGTTAAAACTAGTAAAAACAAAGACTAAAAAAATCATAACTTAGAAGATAAAATGATTATACCAGCGAACAATTATGAATATAAATGAATTTAGTAATTCTATATTCGTATATTCTCATTTTGATATAGAAAACACTCAAGATGTCTTTCAGATTAAACCCTATTAAAGTGCCATGATTTCTGCAGGTCAAAAAGAGTTGAATGTCAGCAATTTCATGATTCAACTGAATCTATTCAATAAGAGAAATATATTTAAAATAAATTGCTAAAGGATCTAGGGCAAAGGCAATTAAGTGGTTCCATATTCTTCATGAAATATTCATCTTTGAGCACAGATTCCCAACCGTTTTCTATGTCTGCACACCTGAAGAATATGAAAACACTGAGTCCCAGGTTATATTCTCTAAAAAAGCAATTATTCTGTTTTGCATTACTATATGCAGCAAAGCCAAGGCTGAACGAACACAGTCTGGAAAGAGAGCCTGACAATGAGTGCTGAGCACAGTATTACGTACATGTAAAATCACTAGCAACAGCTTTATCCAAACTTCTAAATAATATTGACTAATGACTTTACAAGGTTTCTTGCCCAATTTTCTCAGTCCTGTCCTGAAGGGATGTCATTGTCAAGGTCTTTCAGGATAATTAATTCAACTATTCCATCCGGCTGCCTACGTAGCATTGCCTAGAAATCACTTTTGGGGTGAATGATATGAATAAGATTTTGATTATGATTTCGTATGTAGGAAATAAAAGCCACCATAAGTAAGGCACACATGGGGAGTATGAGTGTTAGGGCAAGATCATGGGACCCTCAAGGGCAGGTTGGAAAGTTTGGACTTCCTTCTGAACATCATGGCACCATGATAAAATGGAAAAAGTTGAAACAAGGATGAAGAGTTGGAGACAGGCAGGTCAGCCAGCCATGATGCTATTCTAAAGGTTATGGTGAGGTAGAATACATTCTTCACCTCTGCTAGATGCCTCTAGGGGTTGGGGAAGGAAAAGTGCAAAGGAGTCAAAAACTTTCAGGGCTTTAGCTGTGATGTAAATGCTGGTCCACAGGAGTAGAAAGTTTTATATGGACATTAAAGCTAATGAAAAACAAAAAATATTCAGAATATTTAGTCTTGCATTAAGAAAATTTAAAGTGTAACACTAATAACAAATTTTAGCCAGGGTTTCTACAGCAGGCTGTTGAGGAATGCAGCAAAAGACACTAACAAGGATGAAGTTCACTTCGAGAACTTGGATAGATGTTCATATGGGAATGTGGCTCTCAGAAAGAATTAAGTAGCACCACGCTACTAAGCACTCATGATTATGTGGATAACACTATTATCTCAAATCTCTCAGCAAGAATGCTGAGTCAATACAGTTTATTATAAGAAATGCTGGTTTCTATTTGGCCCCATGACTACAACTAGACAAGTTTGCACTAATGGTCAGAGGTCTAGCTTCAACAATTTTTACTTAGATTGCCATATGTTTTCTTTTAATTGAGGTGAAATTCACCAACATAAAATTAATGTGAAAGTTAACAATTCAGTGGTTATTTAGTGCATTCACAACGTTGTATACCTTCTATCTCTATTTCCAAAAGCCAATCATTTTTAACAAGGAATAATGAGCTGGGCGCCAGTGGCTCATGCCTATAATCCTAGCTACTCAGGAGGTAGAGATCAGGAGGGTCATGGGTGAACGTCAGCCTGAGCAAATAGTTTGCAAGACCCTATCTGGAAAAAACCTATCACACAAAAAAAGGACTGGTATAGGACCTGAGTTCAAACCCCACCACACACACACACACACACACACACAAGGAATGATGATACTAGTCTTAGCCTATTTGATAACTTTACCAATAGAGAGATAGCACATACAACTCTTAAAAATCTGTGGTTGTGCTAGGCCTTCTATTTTGTTTGTCTGTTTGTTTTTTGAGACAGGGTCTTACTGTATAGCCCAGGCTGACCTGGAGATCCTCCTGCCTCCACCTCCCAAGTGCTGGGAGTGCTTGGATTACAGGCATGCACCACCACTCCCAGTCATACTAGGACTTCTGACTGACCTTATTATTCCCCTCACTACCACTAACCCCCACTATTGTCTTCATCACAGTTATTTTAGATGTTCTGGGGAGAAATTTTATTCTAAAAATAGGCTTTCCAGAGTTTCACAACATATTAAATTCATAAAATGAATTATTCTACTGATATCTTTGATATAAATCTTAGAAAAGGATGTCTCATACTCCTTTTGTACAGGCACAACATCTAAATTTTTTTAAAAGAACAAACGCTAAAAGAGACTTCATTGTGCCATACCTTATTGGGATAGCTGGCGGCTTTCTTCCCAAATCAGCTTCAAAAAGGAAACCTTCCACAGCAATAAATAAAAATTGTGCAAATGTCACAATGTTCCCACATCCTGGATGCTTCCTGTACAGTGAATAACAAAAGGAAAAATAAGCCATAAAAACTGAGATAAAGGGCACTAAAATGTTATAGTCATAGTTCCAAATAATAGGAAGAACAGAATTTTATTACCCACTGTCTTCCCTGATCTTGGTTTTCATGTCCCACAGACCACATTTAGCATTACGCCTCACAGAGAATGCTAACGTTCGTACTCTAATTCTTCCCTGGGTATGAGGCCAGGAGTGAGAGTTACTCTGCCACACTTATTGCTAGGACTGAGATACAGCTTTCCTAGTAAACTGTAGGAAAATGGTAGTATGTTCTTACTGAGATCCTCATTTAACCAAAAAGCCTTTGGTCATTTTAGGTAGCATAATATGAAGATGGAAACCTTCTGGAATTCTCCTAGAATGTTTATCCCTCCTGACCAGGAATCACTAGCCAGGTGATGACAGGGACATTACTTTAGATAGTGACCCAAAGGGGGCAAAAACTGGTTCTTACAATAGGGGAAAATCTTACTCTTTTTAAGAGGCACAGACATACTTAACAAACCAACACATAGTATAAGGAGGAGTGATTGGAAAAAATATCTAAGAAACGCTGCTATAGTGAACTATTCTCCACAGCCCTTAACAAGGTGTTTCAAATCCATTAGGCAGTCAAGAAATGTTTGTGGAATTCAACTGATCCTTTTCAGTCATCTATGTAACACTAGGGGAATCTTCTATAGTGACTATTAGGAACAAATTTACAAACTACAAAAATTACTTGGCATCCTTCATGAGGCACCCTGTGAAAATTAGTCACATGAGGTGTTAACTGTTTTCTTGAACTTGTCCTCCATTCAGTTCTGCTTGATCTCTGGAAGAAGGACCAAACTGGGTCCTTTTCCCTCTGAAACTGTGGAAACAATAACAAGACAAAGCACCAATTCCAATAGGAGAATTTTATTCTTGGCCAAGAATAAAGTGAGAGATAAACTTGCAAGTGAACTTCTCAACCCTACAGGGTTGGGAGGCTATAGATGTAAAGGAAATGAGGGGGAGGACAGGCTAATTAAGGGGAAGAATATTCATGTCTTTTTTTGGGAATGGGTGGGGATTTTTCAGGAATTCTGGCTCCACCTATTTTTTAATCTGTTTATGGATCTTTCCAACTGTCACCAAGGCAATTATCAACTGTCATGGTACTGGAGGGTGTGTCATTTAATATGGAAATGGCATTATAATGAAGTTAGAGGTTATCTGGTGGTCACTCTTATTGCCATCTTAGATCCAATCAGTTTCTGCTAGTCCACCTAAACAGGAGCTTCTGGCCTTTAGGCATCCTGTCTTCAAAAATAAACAAGATTAGGCTGGGTAGAAATCCAGCTGGTCACCTAGGCAGTACTCAAAGTAAGCAAGCATCATCGGATTTCCCTTAATATCAGTATTTACCAGCTGTATTTTCTGTGTTTTCATCTTGACCAAAGACATTTGCTTGAAGCCAGTAAGGATTTAGCAGTACTATTATATATTTATACAATACTATTTATCAAAAATTCCATTTTCTGTTAGTGGAATAAATACTAAGCAGCAATGCCAAGACACACAAATTCCTAAACATACCCAACAGGCATAAAAATAGACAAGAGCAGGCATAAGTATTGCAGAGAACTAGACTTTCATGTGAAGCAAACCTGTCCTACTCTTTAAGCAATGCTATGAAGGTTTTGTTCTTTTTTTTTTTTTTTTTTTGCAGTACTGGGGTTTGAACTCAGGATTTCACACTTGCTAGGCAGGCGCTCTACCACATGAGCCACGCCATCAGTCCCTAAAACCTACTACTTTAGACAGAGTTCAACAATTTCTCTTTCAGTGTTTCCTGTGTTCAGAGGAGGAGGCCAAACTTTGCAGGAATCCATAAATAATCATGAATGAGACATTTATCTCATTCAAGGAGCTAATTAAAACCATTAGCCCAAATACGAAGGACAGGACGAAAAGGAAATTTAACTCTAGATGGATCTTAGCACAGGGCTTTTCCACTGTTAATAAATCCATGTACCTTGAAGAGACCTCCTCCTAGTTCTGATTTCATTGGAGTAGGGAAAGCCATTGGAATCTGTTTCATATGGACAAGCTTCCCACTTGATCCTCATGTGCAGCCAGGATTGAAAGCCACAAGTATTGGTAAGGGGAAAGACTGAGTGTGTGCATGCGTGTATGTGTGTTTAAGATTCACCAGAAGAAAAAAAAAAAGATGCACTGGTATTCTCATAAGCTCCTCAGTGGTTAAAATTACTGACATCTAAGATCCACCCCTGACACTAGGTAAAAGTAGAAGTTAATGAGCTTATCTAGATCCACTTTTCTTATCTTTAAAATGGAAACAGTATTAGTGCCTATCTCATTGGTTTGCTGTTGAGTAAATGAGTCATCCCAAAAAAGCATTTAACACAGTATATGCCACAGGGTCAAAAAAGCAAAGAGAACCACAATAATGACCAGTGCCTAGACATGGCATATGGAAAGGTCACTTGAAGGATAGTCTCCTATTTAAAGACTTTTGCATTTACCAAATTTTCTCATTTATAAAATGAAAATGATATATTATTCTTGTAGTGGGAATTCAATGAGAAAATACACATGAAGTGCCAAGCACAAGACTGAGCCCAAAAGAAGCTCAAAACTTTCCTTGTTTTGCCTTTCAATTTCTACCAAAAATTTAGATCAATTCAATTAAAGAAAAATTATCAAAAGTCTATTATGCATAAAGTTAGATGCTAGCTTTAGGGGAGCTTCCAATGTGAATGACACCTGATCCCTGCCCTCAAGAAGATGGCAAAGGCATACGAGAGAGCCAAACATGAAGTGCCAGTGTCATAGGTAGATGGTTAGAGGATGACCATTACTCATCATCTTGGGACAAAGTGGACTTCATGCAGGCAAGTCAATGAACATGGGAACGTCTCACTTCAAACAAATGTTGCCTAAATAATAGATAAAAACAATTTATTTTAAGAAATGATAAACTTTACAAGTGCATTCTCCATATGATTTTTAAAAAGCCAATCATAATACTTTTTTGTTTTATCTTTATTTCATGGCAGTAAGTATTATTATGCCCATTTCATTGCTAAGGATGGTGAGGCACATGTCACTGAGTTAGCTTAAGTCTCCCAAGGGCCTCATGACAAATAAATGCATGTATCAATTATTATTATTAAAATTCAGTGGGTTTTGAAGTTGTGCAATCATGCCATCATCTAATTTTAGGGTACCCTAAAAAAGAATTCCATTTCTATCAAGAATTACTTCCCCTTGCTCCCTCCCACCAGGTGCTTTGACAATTCTAATCTATCCTTTTGTCTTTCTGTAGGATTTTTAAAATCTCCCTAATGTACTCCTATAACCCATGTTTTTTTTTTTTAAACCAACTTACAGCACATTATATTGCATAGCTATCATTGGAATTATTTATTATAACTTGAATAAAGTTAAAATTCATTTTGGAACTTCAAAGTAAAAACTTGAAATGTTTTCCTTAAATCTTTTGTTCTCTTGAACTTTATTCCTCAAGAATTAAAATCATTAACTGCAGACGTCTTCTCTTAGTTTGAATTCTCTAAGGCAAGAATCCAAATTTTTATTTAAAAAAAGTAACTCTGAAGAGAATGAACGGGACAGATGGTTTTATTTCTTTTTTAGATATAAAAAAACTTCATTTAATTCAATACCAGACTATTGACTGAAAAATTAAATGGGAAAAAGAAAATGCTTCCAATTGTTTTCCTGATGTAAGACATGCAATACCTTACCCAGTTAGTTAAGTTAGTTAACTGATGAATAGCCATCTTGTTTCCAAGGTAGAATGTAAGCTCCTTAATGAGGGTGATCCAGTCCTCATTCACTAGTAGGTACCTGCTCTATACAATGCACTGTGATCGTATTTTCTCATTGGTCCTAATTATAGTTACATGAATAAGAAAGAAAAACCTAAATTTGTTTTCCATTTTGGGGAAAATGGTTAAAAATATTCTCTTCTTTCACCAAGTAACTTTACCATTTATATTTAGAGTTCTATGTGCTACTTATTATAGTACCTAAGGGCTCCAAGGAACCCATACAAAAGCACAGTTTCTGCTCTATGAAAATTTATGAGCTTCCCACAGTGATGTACTAGGATTAAAGTCACAAATTCCAAGATATATCTAGAAGAAACTTAGACTAGAAGACTATCTGGTCTAAGCAGGTCTTATTTTACTGATGTATAACAGAAGACATTGTCTTGCTTAAGCAAATTAGGAAAAACCTGCTATTTAGTCTTGTGTGAGACTGATTATATTAATAAATGTATTTCCTTACTTCTTTATGAAAATCCACAATTGTATGCAAAAATGCAGATTTACAAAAACGATAAATAAGGAGTGATGATTTATTTAGAAATTATTCAAAGTATCCTAAATAGAAGCTTCTAGAAAGCACAAAAAACATTTTATAAAGGGAGATTTATCCATAATTTTTCTAGAACACCTCATCAAAACAAAGTTGTAAGAGACAAAGGCAAGACCAAGTGTGTGCCAGGCTTCCCACATGTATTTCATTTAATCCTTTAAAACCTGTGAGGCTGCTGGGTGCTGGTGGCTCATACCTTTAATCCTAGCTACTCAGGAGGCAGGTATCAGAAGGACTGTGGTTCGAAGCCAACCTGGGCAAATAGTTTGCAAGATCCTATCTTCAAAAAAAATCATTCACACACACACACAAAAAGGGCTGGTGGAGTGGCTTAAGGTGTAGGCCCTGAGTTCAAACCCCAGTGCCACAAAAAAACAAAACAAAACAGAAAACCTGTGAGGCTGATGGAGTTGAAATCAAGAACTTAGTTCATAAGCTAGTGGGAAAAAAAAAAGGGCTTTGGTTGCTAGTGTATTCTGACATCATACAGATTTAATTTAATGGCATATTCAACATAAATATTATACACTATTATTTTCTGACCTCCATTTCTATGCCTGGCCTTATTATATCACTTCTATGTTTAAAAAATATATATAAAATATATACCAATTTCCAAAGTGGCCTTCTTTTTTAAGTGTATCAGACTCATAGTGAGATCATGTTTTGTTTCATTTTCATATCTCTCACAGCAATTCCCAAGGCAAATAATGGATCTTTATCAATACTTTCTGCATAATAAAATTGCAAGCTCTGGAAAAGCAAAAAGTTACCCCATATAGTTTACCTTAAGTAAACTTGTTGCTTCAGAAGGCTTAATTAATGGTGCCATGTAAAATACATCTTTACTAACCACCATATGAAGAACTGGGTGATTAAAATCTATTGGCTGCTCAAGTTCAAAAACAATGGGGAGGTGGGAAAAGGTATTGAACTAGGAAGTTAGACATCTTGGATTCCAGTTCTTGCTCTGCTACTTACAAGTAGTGAAAGACTACCAACTTCTTTGACTCTTTCACTTTCAGCAAAACAAAGATGTATAATTCCTGACCAGTCTTGTTCATACTGTCAGTGGAGGTAACATACAGATTCAGAAACATAAAGCTACATGGCACCATGGATATTATTTTACAGCTGGGGAAAGAAGGCCCAGAGAGGCTAAGTGACTTGAAAAGGCCACACAGCCGTGGATGACAAAGCCAAGACTGAAATTCTTAACTTCGAGCTCTGTAGACCTGCACCTTTCCCATACCACCTGTTGTTTCTTCAGTTTCTCTTCTGAACTTTGCACACTCTTACTCAACGTTATTTACAAGCCACCTCAAGTTAACCTACTTGTCTTTAGCAAAGTGTCACAGCCTTCTCAATTAGTAAAGTAAGCTACCTCAAAGTGTATGCTAACCAATTTAAAGACCGTAATACCTTGAAGCTGGGTGCTCTCGGGTCATTTTGACCTATCTTCTGGATATCACCTGTTCTACATCATTGAGATGTATGTTTGGGCAAAGTACTCACAGCCATCTTTAGACCAATGAAAACAAGTGCTTCGCGAGTTACTTTCACAGAAATGAAACTTTCTTTGCAGCTTGTACAAAATCGGACTTAGCTGTCTAAGTCTGCAAGCTAAGTCAGGCGTGTGCCATTATTAACTGGGTGGAGAAAGAGCTGGATTTGGATGGGAAGAAGGGAGAGGGTGGCTTGGCGGAGGACTAGGACCCTTGGAATCTGCCACCAGCTCCCTGCACACCTGGGGCCAATCACTCGAAAACCCCCCCAAGCTCCAATCCCTCAGGGTGTGAAAACGGGGTGACGACGGCAAGCACCCTGAGCATGCCCCTCACTGGGGCGCTGTGACACTGCTGAACTGGACAGGAAGCAGCGGGGCGCAGGACTAAGGAGTGGCACATCCAGCGGGGTCCCAAGCTGCCAGGCGTCAGCGGGGCTCCGGCCGTCGGTCCCCAGGTCCCGCGAGTGGCTGGGTGGGAACCGGGCGGGGGCGCGGCCGGGGACGACGTGAGCGGTCTCCTCTCCTCCGGCTTCCTCACAACATTCCGGGGGGACCGGGCGCAGCCCGAGCGGGTCACTCACCGGACCAGCAGCTCTAGGAAGATCACGTTACTGCAGCAGCCTGCGAACACCAGGCCCACCGCGAAGGCCGGGCGCATGGCCGGTGCGGGGCAAGGGGAGCGAGCGCGCAGAGGAAGCGCCCGTCTGTACGGCTACCCCAGGAAGCCGGGATCACACATGGCCACCGCGGAACCCCCTTCCTCTGCAGTCGCTACTGACACTGCCAGACGAGGAGTTGTAGTTCGCAGTCAGCCCCGGCCCTGTTCATCCGAGGGGGCGTCCAGGTCCCAGGAAGACTACAAGTCCCAGCATGCCGCGCGGCCTTACGTCAGTTGGGACGAGGCCCGCCTCAGCCTGGCGGTTCGGCTCCAAGGATGGGAGAGTGTCTCTCAAGTATCGTGTGATCAGCGGCTGTAAGCATTGCTGGGAAGTGAAGTTCCAACGCTGTCAAAGCTCCCTGGGAGACCGCCAAGAACTCAGAATGAGATTCGTTCATCACCATCCTAACAAACTCACCTGCTGTCCTAGGAACTGAAACAAGTCTCCTGAACGGAGTGGATGTGGAAATTCCTCTGAATTTACCTCTAGAAAAACACAATGGACCTAGAAGTTCTGAGGTTCCATCTTGGTTTATTAGCAGTACTATCTCCGGCAACGTCTCCATAGGTAAAGATGAACACAGCAATGCCTGCCTTTCCTGGCTGGTGTAAGAGTTAAAAGATATGTTCTATGAAAAGACTAGCAGGATAGGCCTATTGCTTTACATTATGGCTATTGTCTAAGGGAGGTACCTAGCACACTAGTTGACCCTGTCTTTAACTCATTATTGTCTGTGCCCGTTTTGTGCCAGCCCAAGGTAGGTACTTACTAAATATTAAATTTAGCTGATAGTAGTCATTCTATTGATCTTAGTTCTTGTTCCTGCTCCCCTTTTTAAGGCAATAGTTCACAGATTTTAGAATGTATTAGGATTACCAGGGGTGCTTATTTAAAATACAGGTTTCTAGACCCCATCCACAAGAATTCTGATTCAGTAAGGACCCACTTCAGACCGGGACCCAGAGTCTGCACTTACAACAAGCACCTGTGATGTGGTTTCCAGACCATACTTCGTTTTGAAGTGTGTTTTTGATCTTGAGGAAGTTTCCAGACTGCTAATGTATCACAGGGAATAGAAATAATAAGGCATTCTGAAATTACACCATGTACTTTTGCTGTTGGATTTAATTATAACTTAAATGTGCGATGTAGTAAACTTCTGAGCAGTAGTGCTAATGTTTTATACTAGCGACAGGGGCCAGAAACAAAGTGTAAACACATTGCCTCCATCAAAACTGGTCTTGGGCTGGCAGAGTGACTCAAGCAGTAAGAGGGCCTGCCTAGCAAGTGAGGCCTTGAGTTCAACCTCAGTGCCACCAAAAAATAAAATTGGTCTTGCTGGGTGAACAAGGTGTACACACCTGTTTTGCAAATAAAGAACAGTGCAGTACTATCCGATGTACATAGTAAGTTGCTTAGCAAACACTGTTGTTGCTGGTGAACAAATAGTAGTTACACTGGATAGCTCAGATTGTAAGTACTGTGAGAATTCAATTGGTGGAAGCAAGAAATATGTCTCCTTTTCACCACTACAGATCTGGTTGTTGAACTGGACATGTTTGACGGAAGTGCCTGGACACTGGCAGTTCTCAGTTTCCCAGATGACTTGACTGTGCAGCTAAGGTTGAGAACCACTGAAGGGAAGTACATAAAAGGGCTGGGATTAGGGACAGCATCAAAAGATCACCATTAAGGCTGTAACCTCAGTCTGATTAAATAAAAATCACTAGGAGTGGAACCCAGGTATCTTTGAAACACCACACATGATTCTAATATACAGTCAAAGCTGAGAACCTCAGCTTTATTTTAACTCTCACTAGTTCTCAATCCTGACTACAAGAGAGTCACACAGGGACTTTTAAAAAATTACTGAAACAGAAAGAAATAGCAATCCCATTTCAGAACAAATAAAGCAGAATACCAGGGATTTAAGGATAAAGTATGACAGCATCCCCGCCTCCACTGTAGGTAGCCATGCCTGAAGGAAAGCTGAGAAGAGTACCTTTTCTATGATTTCAGTGGAGATAATTTCTTATTATGCAAACCTTCATTTCCCACATACCCTAAGAATTTGAGAAAGCCTAAAAAGGGTTCTAAATGTATCCCATTAAATCTCAGCTACAAATGAAACCCATACCAAAGTGGTTGAACAAAGAAATGGTCCATGAACTGTGATATATGCATGTGTTCTGTATTACTGTGATGTATGCATGTGTTCTGTATTTTCCTTCTCTCCCATATTTCTGTCTTGATCTATCCCATGTCTTTTGAAATCTTATTAAAAATGCAGATTCTGGTTCATTAGGTCTCAGGTATTACCCAAGATTCTGCATTTCTAAAAAGCTGCCAGGTGCTAGTGCTCCGAGTCTGTGGACCACACTTTGAAGAACTGAGCCTATAAAGTAGCTCACTCTGAAGATCGCACTTCCTCCTCTCTCATTGGTTTGGGGACCTCATGCCAGCAAACCCATCCCTATGATCCTCCTTCCTGTTAGCCTACAATCATGCTTAAAAAAAAAAAAAAAGCAAACGTACCTGTTTCCTCCTTTAATTTTAACACCAAATATATTTAAGGAGTAATCTATATTCATAGTCTGCTTTTTAAACCTCCAATCAGCTTCTTTAACTTCTCAGGTCAAAGCTGGATTATTGAAAGAGGTCTCATGAGAGGCCTAATGACTGTCAAAGCTACTTTACCACTGGCTTATCTTGATCTCACAGTGGCTTCTGACAAAACAACCCCCATACTTCTTGACATTCTCTTACTCTATAAGATATGAACCTTGGTTTCTTTTTCCACTTCTCTTTTCAGTTTCATTGTGTGAAAACTGAAAACTGAAAACTCTGGGCTGGGGGCATAGCTCAAGTGGTGGAGCATCTGCCTACCAAGTGTGAGGCCCTTAGTTCAAACTCTTAGTTTTTAGAAAACTAAAAACTGCTCTGGCCACTGGGTTTTCCTTTCAAAATTCTACCATTTATCTCCTCCTCTTATTGCCCTGAACACTTCCTGTGGGTGACTTCCCCCTGTGACTTCCATGTGCATCTGTGAGCCTGCATGCATGTATATGTATAGTCCCAATCTCCCTTGTGTTCAAAACACAAAGCGTTTCCAACTGCTCTGGCATCTTTACTATTTCTCTGTAAACTCCTCACTATTCATGTTTCATTATCTACCCTCCCTTCTTAAGATGTTATCCATCCTATCTCTTTTCTTTGGGCAAAATCCGGAAAGATTTTTGGTCTTCCTCTCCTTCCCACCACACATTTATTTGCTCCTACCAACTCTACCTCACAAGTATTCCTAGATTCTAACCTGTCCTTTCCATTTCCATTGGAATGTAAATGCATTTGGTACCTCTAGCATCTGCCTTCTTTTTTAAATTTTATTTTTACTTTTTTTTTTTGTGTACTGGGGCTTGAATTTAGTGCCTTCGCCTTGAGCCACTCCACCAGCCCTATTTTTGTGAAACGTTTTTCGAGATAAGGTCTCTTGAACTATTTGCCTGAGCTGGCTTTGAACTGTGATCCTCCTGATCACTGCCTCCTAAGTAGCTAAAGATTATAGGTATGAGCCACTGTCACCTGGTTATTTTACTTTTTAAAATAGTGTATGTTAATTGTACAAAGGAGTTCCACTATGGTATTTCCATATGGACATATTTTGTTCCTTGATCAGATTAACCCCCTGTATTGCTCTCTTTTCCCTGTCCACCCTCAGCCTCTGCCTTCTTAAACCCATCCTCCATGCTGCCTCCAGACTTTGTTCCCCAACACAAACCAAAACTCATCATATCATATTGCTATTCCAAGATATCTGTTCCAACTACCTATTACTGTGTAATAGACTATGCCAAAATGTACTGGTTCAAAGCAAAAACAAAATAAAACAAGATCCAACTAAGCAAACAAACAAAACATTTTTCTATCTTATGGTTCTGTGTGTTGACCGTCCTCATCTCAGCATGCAGCTGGTCTCCCCTCTCTTAGGGCTCCTCATGCAGTAGCAGTCAGAAATTGGGGCTGGAATCATCTGAATGCTTGACTGGGTTGCTACCCAAAATGTTTGGACCAACTCTCTTCACATGGACTCTCTTATCTGCTGTACCCCACAACATGGTGGACCCACAGTAGTTGAATTTCTTAAACAGTGACTGGCTTCTCTTAGAACAAGCATTCCAAGAGATCAAGGCAGATGCTACAGTGCCCTCAGAAGTCACCTGCACTTCATTCCGTTGGCTCCCAAGGGTCAACCCAGACTCACTGAGAGAGGACTAACAAACACCAGTTATGGGGGACGCATCTTTGAAAATTAACTATATAATATTCCTTGGCTCTTTGATTTGTAAAATCCATACTTGGAAGAAGGGATACAAACATGTCACAATCAAACCTCAGTTTGCTTTTCATCTGCAATTTTTCTGCCCACTGCTATCTGGACTCCAGCCACTATAAACACTCTCTGTTCTCCGAGTCCACAGAGACTTTCAAATTTGTGTCTGTACACATGCTGTCCTATTTGCTTGGAATTCCTTTTCCTCTTTGGCCAACTCCTATTCTTCCTTTTATGGCAATAGAGGAGAGTAGAGCAAGTAGATATTCCTACACTGTGCAGGCATAAACGGTAATGCTCAGATGTCACCTTTCTGTGTATAGCTTTTCAATGTACAACTTATGGGTCCCTGCTATATATCTCAAGCACTCCATCCTTACCTCAATAACCCATTAATCATGTCCATTATAGTTGTCTGTTTCCATGTCTACACAACATTTCCTTGTATGATGATTCCTTGTATAATAACTCATTTATTTGTTCTTTAGTGATGGACACTTTGACTATTAAGAATGGTGCTACTGTGAAATATCTTAATACATATCTTGGCAAATACGTTTCTGTTGGATATTCTTGTATCAATCCACATCCAGTCAGGAGTCAGGAAACACACAGTAATCTGAACAGAAATTTTATTATAAAGAATTATTAACTACTATCAGAATGAGTTACTATAAATAGTTAAGAGAACCGCCAAGTTTATTGAACTATCAGATATAGGAAGCAGCTGCTACTTAAGTCAGGCTTTTTGTCCAAGGAAAGAACAAATTTGGAAGAAGGTCCTCACCTCTCTCCTCTCCAAGAGAGATTAAAGACTTATTGAAAAGGGTGGGGCTATAGGCCTTTGGCCAGCAGAGAAGTTCAGTGAGGTGCTGATGAGACTTGCTAGGAGCCATCCTCTGGGCTCCAGCTGGGACACTGGCCAACTCACTGGGAAACCATGGTACAAGTGATGTACTTGCTAGGAAGTTGGCCAAACCCCTGGCAGAACTTTCTGGATACCACTTGTAAGGATCCTACTGCTGAACTCACTCGGGTGAATGCTCGGGATTGTCCCACATGCCGAGTAAGCACTTCAGGAACAAGAAGAGAAGAGAACGCAACTGAAGCAGGAAGAGAAGCCAACCCAATTGCAGTCTCCACAATCTTTCCCATTACAAAGGCCCACATTATACTACCAGGTAGAGGAAAAATGCACACAGGGTCCAGCATTTTAAGTGGGGCCATGAAGGGTGAATATGGAGGCGATAGGCTGTCAACTGACAACTGGAACATCTGGGAGATTATTTCAGGGGTCACATCAACTTCCACATTTTAATTATTTCATCATAAAACCAGTGTAGTTATGGCCTTATCTCCCAGTTTTTTTTTTTAAAGTCCTTTCCACCTGAATTCAAAATTCCAGCATCTTTGAATGAATAGCAGCTTCTTAGACAGTAGCTGGGCTCGGCAGGTTTAAACCTCTATGCAGTGCGCCCTTGTGAGGGAGGGAGAGCCTGTTGCTTGGGACTGTCCGTCGTCTTTGCCTAAGTGTTGTCAGTGAGA